AAACGAAGATAGATAGATAGACAGACAGACAGACAGATTGATAGATAGATAGATAGGTAATTAGATAGAGAGATAGATAGATAACAGAAAGATAATGAACAAACGGATATAGATAGATATAAACAAAGTGAGATAGATAGGTAGGTACGTAGATAGAGAGATAATGAGCAAACAGAGATAGATAGATAGATATGAACAGTATGAGATAGATGGATAGATGTGACCAGATTGCGATAGATTGATACTTCTCATTCTTTCACAAGCAGTAAGCTGTTGTGTTTTTATCGCCTTGCTTGGGGTGACATAAATAAGATTGATAAGAACAGGCTGAGATAGCTAAATAGATAGGTATACATGTAGGTAGGTAGTCAAATCGGTAAGGCATATCGGATTTTCATTTGAATTCTTTATTTTTTCTTTGTATCTGTTTTGCTGTAAACATTTCCACGGGCAATTTTCGTCAACTCTTCGTTCGAATAAATGAACTTTACAGGCGTAGAAAGGAAACCATAAGAACTCCCACAAGCGGTAGTGATGGACGGCGAGAAGAAAGGACTAAACATCAATTGCAAGAAGACAGAATGCATGGTCATTAGCAAAAGAAACAGCTCAACATGCAAATTAAAAATTGGAGATACCAAAATCAAACAAGTATAACCATTTAAATATCTGGTAAGTATGTTAACAAAGGACAGAAAATGCGACACTAAGATCAGAATGCGCATGGGGATAGCGAAAGATGCCTTCCAAAAGCTAAGTAGAGTATTAAGGAACAAAAAACTTTCGTTAGAAACAATAGACTACTGTCTATATTTCTGAGATGAGGTATTATGTACATTATTTACATTATTCGGACTATTGTCCTCATCTTTGTCGCCATATTTATCACAACGTTTCGGCCGTTGTACGCTCCGGCCTCCTTCAGGTGGTTGGAATGTCGATGGATGTCAGTTATAAGTTAACTGATAACTGACATCCATCAAGAACATGGAACTAGAACAGTCTACCCCAGTGAACGAAATAAAGGGTTCAGTTCGACATTCCAATCACCTGAAGAAGGCTGGCGCGTACAACGGCCGAAACGTTGTGATAAATATGGCGACAAAGATGACGACAATAGTCCGAATAATGTAAATAACGAAAAGAATACTGAACAGTTACATAATCTCAGTCCTCTTATATGTCAGTGTTGAAAACCCAGAAATAGTTACTGAATGACGAATAACCATAACGGATGTCGGAAATGAAATGGTTATCTTTATAACATCAACAAAATAAAATACTCGCCAGCGGCGTGAAGTAGGTAAACCACTGCTAGTGGTGGACTACTTAGACACCATATTACGATATTTGACCGCCTCCTCACGAGGTAGGATGTGGCACAAGGCCAAATTTAATGTGAGGAAATCCGAGCTCGTGGGCTCCGGCAAAAATTGCCCGTAGACCCCGCATATGTGGGATCAGGTATCTGTTTACCTCCCCGGGCAGAGTGTTCGATACGGCAAGAGCTTTCCATGCTGACAGCTCACGCTGCCAGCGTGATAGTATATTAACCCCACTTACAATAGTGTCCAACGTATAAGTATTGGGACATACCCATTAGTGTTTATAAGTACGGTATATAACAGTTGCCCACCAGAAATCCATAGATAGATAGATAGATAACAATGTGAGATAGATAGATAGATGTTGTAACCTAGAAAAGGTTACTGAATGAGGAATAACCAAAACGGAGGTTGGAAATGAAATGGTAATCTTTATAACATCAATAAAATACAATACTCGCCTGTGGCGTGAAGTAGGTAAACCACTGCTAGTGGTGGACTACTTATACAGCATATTACACACATTTACAATAGAGTCCAACGTATTTAGGAAGATTGGGACATACCCATTAGTGTTCATAGGTATGGTATATAACAGTCAGTGAATGCCGGGCAATCTCTTCACGGGTGAAGAAGAAGCAATAGAAATGTGATTTTAGAAAAGGATGCTAATCATGTGAGCAACGACGAAGTTTTAGATCAAATGGCAACAAAAAAGGACACTTATACTTAACATCAAGAAGTGTCAGCTGATATTTCTAGGAAACAGAATGAGGAAAGAGGGCTTAGGTAATTCAACACTCACACGACAAATTGAAAGCAATATGGGCCAAGCAACGAATAAGGTATTTAACAAACCTGTGTAAATAGCTGGCAGAAACAAAGAAAAGACTACTGAAGAGTTACGTAATATCAGTTCTCCTGTATGGCAATTAATGCTGGACAATCTCCTCACATATGCAGAAGAAACTTGAAGCAATAGGCATGTAGATCTACAGGAGGATGCTAAGAATTCCCTGGGACGAGCATGTGAGCAACAACGAAGTTTTAGAGCAAATGGAAAATACTTAACATCAGGAAGTGCCAGTTGAAATTTCTCGAGCACATAATATAAAGACAGAGAAGAACAGCGTATAACCTACCTGGAGAGCTTCAGTAAATGGAGGGAGGAACATTTTTACTATAAGAAATTGTTATGGGACCTAACCCATAATAACATAATGGACTATTCCATACGTAATAAATACTGCGCCTCAAGAGGAAGCATGGAGTTCAGTCCGAAGTCGGGCAACCGGCTGATCAGTTGAACTCTCTGCCTTCGGGCGAGGAGGAACCCGAACGAGGCTACGCCGAAGGGCGGAGTCTCTTTCCGGGAGGTAAACCGATCCTGAAGCCGTTTATACGGGTTCAAAGGGCATAATTTTGGCCGAGCCCACGGGCTCGGAGATCCCACAGATTCGGAGATCCCACGGGTTCGGAGATCCCACGGGCTCGGAGATCCCACGTTAAAACGGCCTTGCGCCACATGATTCCCTCGTCGGTGGGGGTGACTAAATACCATTCAGCCTAAAGTCGGGCGACCGGCTGATCGGTTGAACTCTCTGCCTTCGAGCGGGGAGGAACCCGAACGAGGCTACGCCGAAGGGTGGAATCTCTTTCGGGTAGGTAAACCGACATTGAACCCGTTTATACGGGTTCAAAGGGCATATTTTTGGCCGAGCCCACGGGCTCGAAGATCCCACGTTAAACCGGCCTTGCGCCAAATGATGCTCTCGTTGGAGGGGGGTGGGGTGACTAGATATCGTTCAGTCTGAAGTCTGGAGTGAGGTCTGTCAGAAGTCCGTCAGGAGTCTGTCAGTCAGTCAGAGCGAGCCAGTCAGTCAGTTGAGTCAGAGGCAGTCCGAAACAGTGTCGCGTTCAGACAATTACTACAAGACATTGGAATAGTGATACTGGTCGAGACTACATTGTTCTCTCTACTAAACCTGATTGTTCATACTAACACTTCTACTTCTCTGTATATATTCCTGTTTGTAATATATGTGTTATTCCATATCCGTGTTCGAGTTCTTCTTTATTGGTTCTACCTTGGACTATCACCGTGGTACAAGGACCTGGACCATAACAGAAATGTTAAATGGTAATGGTAATATTAGCTGTTTCCTTATAAGGAAACATTCAGCATTTGTTGACCGACCCTGTGCCGCCGTTGGTTGAAATTTATAAAATCTTTATATTAAAACAATTTTTCAAGAAAATATATTTCACACATCCACTAACAGTTATCGCTCTTTCCAGTACTGATGGGTGTTTCCTTTGTAACCTTTTGTTTGAAATAGTGTGGAATATCAACGTCTGGTTTATGACATGATTCTCTCTTTGAGTTATACGTGCTATCCATTTTAAATGTTACTTCTGTTGAAAGTCCTCATATGATGTTGCTTCTGTCATTTGGTACGGCTGATTCTGTAGCGCCAGTCCACGAAGTTCTAAGAAGGATGGTCCTCGTTGTAACCGACATGCTTTACTCTCTCGAAGCCATTTTTAACCATCGATCTGAGAAAGAGGTTGCGTGCAGCTGACTGTTTAGATATTTCCGGGGTGGGGGGCATGCATGGACTCCATAAAAAAAGTCTTGATCTGACGAGGCTAGTTTAAAAACATGATTCTAGTTTTCATGTTAATATTTTTCGTTTTGTAGCAACTTACGCTTTTGGGCAAAACTACCCCGAGCTCAAGCGATTCTATGTTCAATTTCCCGATCTCTTAGATTGAACTGATCTATCCACCGAGGTATTTGAAGTATTTAGCATTTACTAATTCTACATTCTTAACTTTTTTTGATAGTTTCAGGGGAGATGGCATCGCTGCTTTCATTCCAAATTCCAGATCATCTTTTCTGTTACGGAAAGATTTATCTTGAATCTTATTTCTTGGTACACTTGGTAGGCAGTGTTGATTGTTTTCATTCGGATCATTCTTATTCTAACTGAATATCTTTATCATCGGTATAGACCCCAGCTCATAATCTGTACATCATATATATATATATGTGTGTGTGTATGTCACCATAAAATGTATCCTTTCCGGTTACATCTTTAATGACATCCGACAACATTCATATTTCTCTCACTTAAACCGTCTTTGACTCCCCTCTAAAAACTTCTCTCTGTTAAATTTGAATCCCTCACCTTCTCTCGTCTGTTACCCCTCTCTAAGCTCTAACATTCGTCCCCACACTCTCATACTTACCTCTCTCTAAAGTTTATTTTTATTTCCGGAGTTGTTTTTTTTCTGTTTTCTTTTTTTGAATTTGTAGGTCTGATGAATTGGATCGTATTTACGATTCCAATGGAATAAATTATGACCATGGAATATTAGTGTTTAAGCCTTTTTATTATATCATTACTCTGTCCTGGACATTGAGTTCTACCTGGATTCTATCCTCTTGAAATTTTTTTATACAAAATATACATGTATGTGTATGCCTGTATGTATATATGTTTATATATTTTGCATATGTATGTGTATATTTACCACTAATATTGCATATATATATATATATATATATATATATATATATATATATATATATATATATATATATTAAAAGAAAAGCAGACCACTTTAAGGTTCCATTATAATAATTTATTTCACCAGAGTCCTTTTAAAGGACGCCGGATCATCAGATAGCACTTCCAAAAAATGAAATGAAAATTGATGGGTAGTGTAAGTTTTTGTAATTTAACAGAGAGTGTAATAAGGAGTAGTTAGAGAGGCATGGTAGAGTTTAGGGAGGGTTTAATTTCATATCTCTCTCAATCATACTTAGTATTGAGGGAGGAGGCGTGACCAGACCTTGTCCTATTTAAACGGTTAACTTAACGGAAGTGATATATATATATATATATATATATATATATATATATATATTACAATGAATCATTCATACAAAACTAAATTAGTAAAGTTAATGATATAAAATGGCGAAATTCCTTCACTAACAGAAATATAAAAATGAATTAACCTACAAATTACTCAATGAATGTTATGCTCCATGTTTTTTTTTAAATTAAACTGCATCACATATTTGATTTAAAAGAACTCATCCGACGTTCAAATTTTCGCGATATCAACTGAGACATTACTCTACGTATTGAATTATTTAGTTCTTACCATATTGATTGATAAACTTCTACAAGAAAAACATTCTTAAATTGTCATATTAGTAAAAAAAAAACGCACTCACTTAAATTTTCAAAAATTCAACCTTAGCATTGAGACTACACGCTCCACAAGTTTGTAACTGTTATCAATAACAAAAAAAAAAAAGACATATTTCGATTTACATTATATTTTTTCGTCTCGGATGCTACCTGAATTTTACCAAAAAGAAAAAGGTTTCCATGATTGATGATGACTGGTAGAACCGTCGAAAGTACTTGTTTAAGGAAGACCTAATACATTTTATAATTTAAAAAACAGAGATCATAACATTCATCGAGTGATTAGTAGGTCGATGCATCTTTAAAATTCTGTTAGCGAAGGGATTTGGCCATTTTATATCATTAACTTTACTAATTTAATTTTTGTACGAATGATTCATTGTAATATAAATTAAACTGTACCACATATTTGACATATATATATATATATATATATATATATATATATATATATATATATATATATGATAATGATTATAGCAGGGTGCGTTGTTGCGTGTTTGCAAAATCCCTATCACAACGATTACAATTACATTAAGTTTGACTTCAAATTCACCCCTGAGGATGATCTCGGAGGATATCAAAGCTCTTGGGTTAACAAAAAATACGGCGACTTCCTTGATGAATTTCAATTTAACATCGAGAAGATAATGAAAGAATTAGCAAGGATTATTCTAAAAATAGATATAATATGTATATATTATTTAATGAAACATGCTTGAATGAAAATATGTTGCCTATATATATATCTACATCTCTCTCTCTCTCTTATATATATATATATATATATATATATATATATATATATATATATATATATATATATATTTATACTTATATGCAAATTACTTGAAATAACCGCTTTAGTTTCCTTTATTTCACCATACGGTCAGTTTTAGACCCATTGGAGTGACAGGGTGTAATCGATTTCTATTTTTTCTCAGATTAGGTCATTTGCAATGGTGTGCAGTAATATGAATCGATTTTCGGTGGGTATGATGAAATTTGCTTCGACTTAAAAAATATTGTTTCACCCGTGTTTGCATCAGATTTTTATCTAGCCCAAACACTATTATCTCGACTGTCGATTAGTTGTCCTATGGACATTTTCTGCGATGGACGTTACTCCAGGGAAGCGTACGAAAATAGTAACACTGCACGAACAGACTGACAAGACTTAGCAGTGAGCAAATCGAAGTACTATAGACAGACCCGGAAACTCTCCTGATTTAAATGCAATCGAAAATCTGTAGTCAATCTGCTAGGAAAGACTTCGTGGAATAGACATACGAAGTACTGACATGTTCACTGGGTCATGTTTCATTGGAAAAATATGAAAAAAAGTAAATAACAGAATTATTCGTTTTGTTGTAATTAATTTGCACAATTATTGTATATTATCTCTTTAAGCAATATTTTCAGTGGATACTCATATTTGAGTATACGTCCGTTTACTTATTAAACAGTATATTTATTTATTTTCATTAAACAGTCTGAATATTCGAGAAACTTTATTAAAGAAAATATGCGTTCTCTGTTTTCTATAATAAGATTCAAGCCAGTAGGCAATGCTAAATAAATTTACTGTTTAATAAATAAACAGGGGCGTCTGCTCAAATGTGAGTATCCACTAAAAATAACATTTAAAATGATAACAATCTGTCGGATTAATGAAAAAAATTTATATTAGTTCTTTGCAAAATTATATATATATATATATATATTGCATTTTTGTATGGCATATTTGTCTACTTCAGTGTGGTATATAAAATATTTTCTGGTATAACTATTTCTTGGGAATTAATTTCTTCTTTCTTTGTGTTAGGTTTGTCATTTTTTATTCATGTTAAGATGTTCTGATATCATTGATATACTAATGCCTCATGTAGACGTTGGAGAGTGAAAAGAATCAAGATATTTCTTGTCTCTTTTCCAAGCACCTCATTAGT